GCGCGGATGGTGCCCCTGCCCCACGGTGAGCAGAGCTGCTGGTCTGCAGCCCCCGTGAGCCCCCGTCTGCAGTCACACCGCGGGTCCACACCCGCAGGTCGTCTCTCGCCCCACCTGCCGACCACCGCTGCTTTGCAGCATCTCATCTGATAGCTTTGGCCGGGCTGCTTATCTAAGCTGTAGTTTTTGTAAGCAGCAGAGAGAGGACACGACCTGCAGCCCCTGCCAGCCTCCCTCACTTTCTAGAGAGCTTCTAAGATTTATAGTCAAATTTTACCGTAACTGTGATTTGCCTTACAAATCGTGAATGTATGATTGCCCCATGATCCTATAGCGAATCTCCTGAGACCTCAGTGATAGCTAAGTAATTACTCCTGGGCGCAAGCAAAGATTAACTCTGAAGCTTTCCCAGTGGAGCAAACCACGAGACAGGGCTGCAGCTGGCTGTGTGACAGGCTTTGAGCCCTGAAGAAGAGCTCCCCCCGTCGCTGCAAGGCTTGGCTGTGTCCCCCCGCCACGGCCAGCCTGCGAGTGACAGCTGGGCTCTGCGTGAAGAGCAAATTTTCATGCTGAGTCATGCGTTCTGCCCAGCCTGGTTTTAAAAACTCCCAGCAGCTCCTGCTCCTGCTCCGGAGGCTGGCAGTGGGAACGTGGTCGTTGGGTTCGTCGGCTGCGTTAAACGCTGCCCTCCCCGGAGAAGGCCGTCGTGGCTCCGTGGGGATGTAGGAGCCCCACAGGGGTATGTTTTTGGGCTGGGTGTGGGTGTGGGGGACTCCATATGGTGAGAGGGGAAACTGTCCAGTGCAGCACAGGGTTGCGAGTCTCAGTTCCTTAAAGCTTGGGGCAGAAATGGTAAAAGGCTGTTCAGGCAAGTATGTCTTTCCATGGCTGTCCTTTGAGCGCAGGTCTCCTGTAGGAGGCACAGAGACAAGCATCCCTCCTGCTCGGCGCACGCAGGACATGGCCCAAAGCAAGGGAGAAGGCCAGTGATGGAGGAGGGAGGTGGGAGGCAGGGGGGGCTCCCGCGGCCTGCCGCTACGGCAGGGAGCCCTTGGGAAGCTCTGGGCCCCTCGCGCCTTGCCCAGGGCCTGCTGCGACGGGCACCCGAGGCAGGGGTCCTGAGGCAAGAGCACAGTTATTCTTGAAATGAGCCCAGTAACCTGGAGACTTGTTCATCTCCTCCAGAGCAACCTGTTCTGATGTGAAAACCTGAATAAATGAAGATGGAGAATCCACTTTCTTTTGTAGCGTTTCTAAGTGCTGTTTCTTATATGTGCTTTGAAGGTGATGGCTTTCACTTCTTCCCTTTGCTTCCTATTATGTTTTTTTCTGAACGGAGCACTAGAAGCCTTTAATAAACCCACAGTTCTCTCCCTGCTGTTCTTAGCCTCTCTGAGCAGATCTTTTTCTGCCACTCACTGAAATCAAGAGATTCTTGCTGGGACTCCCAGGGGCTATTGTAATGCAAATGATAATGATGATATTAATGGTAATCATTGTTATTCTATAGGGTAATATATCAAGAGTCCATATTTTCATGTTAATTTTTCGTATGCAGGTGCCACATCAAGTGTATCCTATTCTGTCAGAGAACATGCTTTTTATAGGGGCACTATTATAAACAGTTAATAATAAAGCTGGCCAGTCTTGCACCTGATGTTCTTTGACATTCAGTAATGCCATGTGACATGACGAATTTGGAATGAAGGATGAAAAGCTGCTAAAAGAAATACTTCGGTGTAGCTACAGCTAAATTGATTTTATATCTAAAATATGTTCTTGAGTCATAAAGATAAAAAAGATTCATGTCAGTGCTCCGGATTCACTTGCGTGCATCTGGGAAAGGAGTTAAGGTGTTGAAGGGGTAGGGCTGGTTTATTGCTACCTGTCTGGATATGAAAGGGTTGTATCAGCAACTGCACTTGCCTTGAAATATGAGTCTGGGAGCAGTAAGATCGTATTTTGAAGTGTGGTGTCTGTCTTCTGTGGTTCTGAAACTGAGGGCATCCACGGCAGTGCGAGGCCCCTGAACAGTCTGTTTGTAGTACAAGCATTTCTGAGTGCATTACTGGAAACAGCTACATTGTTCTCATCAGACTACTCTTGGCCTTGTATTTATTACACAATGTTACTTGTAGAAAGTATTGCTTTTATTTTTCAAAGTAAAAATCTTTTGAGTGAGATTGCACCACAGTGTTATTGTCAACTGACATTAAGTGAAACTCAGGCTGTTACATAACATTCGGAACATAACAAATGCTGCTACTTTGGCTTTGCACCAGCTTCGCTGAGACCTGAGTTGGAGGCTCTGCTCATTGGTAACTCGTTTGTCTGTTTGATTTCAGAGGCTAACCTCACTAATTTGGATAGTCTCGGCGGTGTGTTGAGCCTTATCGAAGACCGGGTGCATAGTTCCAGGCGCCGCTACCGCAGGCACGCGACCGATGATGATTACAACATCGAAGTTCTGCTGGGGGTTGACGACTCAGTTGTTCAATTCCACGGGAAAGAGCATGTTCAGAAGTACCTGCTGACCCTGATGAATATTGTGAGTACAGCCCTGTTAACGGCTTTGTGCGGGAACAATGAAGCCAGAGTGAATGTAGGTTGGCTTAGCCATTTGAATAAGACGTCAGAGATGCCCCAATCCCAAAACACATGAGCAGGGTTTTTAAACATTTTAAGAGTCCCACCACCAGCTTTTTCCTGGGTCTCTTTTTCTTCTCTTCCTTTTCCCCTTAAGTTATGTCACCTTCTGCAATGAGAAGAAAATCCTGCCTATGCCTGCCTATGAGTTTTGATGGATCGGGGCACAGGGTAAGGGCATAGGGTCCTTGGAAGTCATTACACTTTAGATATGTACTGTCTTAAACTAAGCTCCCTCAGGAAACCGTGATTTGGAGAACTATGTTTAAATAAGGTCGTATTAGAAACTTCGATTGGCTCATTCATTTTTAGAACTACTCAGTTAGTTAAATTCTTTGATTCCTTGACAATCACTTTAGGTCCCAGGCCACCTAACTACTCTTTGTTCACACCATAGTAAAATGTTATGCAGTATATCCATGAACTTTCTTTAACTGATCTAGTATTTACTCCATGGCTGACATCTTTTGGTTTCCTTAGTTAAATATTTAATCTTCAGAACCACTATCTGTGCAACAGACTGTGTACTATAGTAGTGATGAAAGCAGACAGACACAGGAGAATATTATATTTGAAAGAACCATTTTTTCTCTAAATGTCGAAACAGCAGACAGGGCCATAGGCAGCCCTTTAGTGCCCCTTTCAGTAAGCAAGGACTCTATTTTGTGGGAAAAAAATCAAGTTTTGAATAATCATCTCTATTATAGATCAAAATCGAAATATGTTTTGTTCTTTTGGCCAAAAAATGAAAGAGAGGAGCTCTCTCCAGAATGACTGTTAGCCCCCGCTTCATTGGCAACTCATTCTGGGATGACTTTCTTCCTTCTCATTCTCATCTGGAACAGGAAGCTCTTCTTAGTAAAATACACTTCTGTAAAAACTTCAGTTTCTTCAAACGTGTTCTCAGTGAAACATGGTTGAGCAAAACATCGTAGGTCTGCTCTGTCTTTGACAGACAGAATATGACTGCTGAAGCTTAAAGAGGAACCTAGAGGATGGGCGCCTATGGGTGACTTCTTGGCACTGCAAGCCCTGGAGACATACATAGACAGAAATCCAGGCTATCAAGTACGTTTTGCCTGGGACGTGTCTTTTCCAAGATGTGTAGTGTCATTATGAGGCTTAGTTTTTCTTCCTTTATTACATTCCTTTAACAAAATGTAAAATGTCACTGTTTTTCATTTTAAACGAGAAGTGGAATACAATTTAAGAAAATCCCTTGTGTGAAATAAATTCAAGTGCACTGACATTTTGTAACAGTATTGTAAATACTTAGAAATCTGGACTAACATTAGAGTTATAGGGTGCTTAGTGTATGCTCTGATGGCTGTAAATATATATATTCCAACAGAAAGGACATAGTGAATTTCATTTATTTGTGTGGTTTGTTTCCTCTGAGGCTTAAAACAAAATCTACAGAGAAACAGATGGTTTTCTACATCTCTAAATTAACAAGCCAAACAGACCTAACCAGGAATGTGGCAAACAGGCTGAAATAGATTAAACAGGACTCTTTACTTATCATGTCACTTAAATCTATTTTTAAGAAAAAAGCATACAGTAGTGGTAAAGAACCCATAAATGTTCCAGCTCTGGCATATACTTGTTCCTAATTTTAGCAGAGCATCCAGCACACAAATTGTAAGAAATAACAACTCTTGAGCATGCTGTCTCTGCAAGTGGTTTAGAAAGTGCAGCCTGTGTAACCATATCCACAGGGCTGTAACAAATCTTTGACATAGGCAATAAGCTGTTCTTTTGTGAGATCTGAGATAGAAATGTGTCTTTTTGGGGACTATGGATATGCGTCTTCTCTTTGTGTCCAAGATGTGGTGAGGCATTGGCATCCTCAAAGCCCTTCAGGAGGCTCTGGGAAGCCTTTGGGAGTTATTAAGATCGTCCCATTCTTTTCTTCTTCGTAACTCAGCCAGTTCCCGGCCGCTATGTAATATAGCAGAGGGACGGGGGTGGTGGTGAGCAGTTCTCTCTTTCTGGCTCTCCGTGCTTTGCTCAAGAATAGAGGAGCAAGAGTTTGTTACTGCAGCACGGGGCACCTCTGGAAGAAGTATCAGATGATGCTGGAGGTCCTCACCCTGCACGTCTAATCCCTTTTGATCCTTACCTAGCACGTCCGATCCCTTTCGCTCAGCTCCCCTTTCACGACCAGGGAAGCTATGTCGTCTGGCTGCTAGTTGCGCACATCACAATGCAGGACACCAGCCCTCTCCTTCCATCAGCAGTGTAACTCTGCTTGGCAGCTCCTCTGGCTCTTGCCTTCATTGCAAGATAGATGCAAGGAGAACTTCTGTGTAAATAATTGGTTTGGTCTCCTTTGCTGATGTCCTGTTGTCCTCTGTTCTAAGTCCCTCAGTTCTTTTTACCTCTCTATGGAAAATGAGCCAATGTGAAAAGGCTTGGGATCTCTAGCTGTTAGGGGGTGCCTATAGTATGTTTCTGACTGGATGCATAGGCCCAAGGGTGCCTAAAAGAGCAGGCAACTGGGGAAAATTCCAACTGACCTTTTAAATGTGGTAGAAGATTCTATTATGACCATCAGACTGCATGTATCCTACTGGGGTTGTGGGTACAGTCATTTAGCTTTGTGTAGTGACAAGGCGTTAAGCATGAAATCAAAGTCTACACAGTAAATAAAAAAAATAAAATAATAGTGGAAATATTTACTGGAGATAAGAGGTGACTGGAAAACTTGAGCTTCTATGGTTCCAAAAATAAAATAAATCCAGGTGAATTCTCCCTTGTGCCCAGACTCCTGAAGGCAAAATTCTTTATCCGTTCCCATAATCGCTTTCCCAGAAACATCTCCCAGCACGGCTCCTTCTCCCCATTTTGCTTGATTTCACTGTGCACGATGGTGCTAGCAGTTGTCCTTAATTAACTTTTCCTAGGGAACTTGGGTGGAACCCCACCACCAACCCAATCAAAACAATATATTTTTTTTTTCAAGCCAGTGCAGTGACTTATTCAGTAAATCTGTTTTATGCTGCTTAAGTGATGTTACAGTCCACACCTAAAAGCTATAAAGTGAGAAAAAAACAGGGGCTGGGTGTCCTGGCTATCTTGACGAGCTATGCTAATAGTTATCCCAAAGTTTGGAAATGAAGTCACAGTCCCAAACGAATGGCGATAGATGCCAGAAGTTTTTTAACGCTTTGGGCTGCAGCCACGTATCGCCTGACTGCGCGCCAGCCATTTCACTGCAGTGAGCTATGCCTCTTGCCACCCCATTTTTATCCTCCAGTCATTTCCTTGTACAAAAGCTTTGATTTCTCTTACTGCCCCTGCTCTGCTCAGCGCCATGGGGACGTTCAGTCAGGCTGGGGAACAAATGCCATTGTTTTCACTTTGGAGACCCTCGGCTGCCTCATGCTTGCACCATATTCTTCTGCACATCGTGCTGTGTTTCTTCCTGGGTAGGATATTATCTTGCACAGTCCTCTGTATTTCCAAGTTTGAGCCCACACATTGCACAAATTAGCTGTATTTATAGCATGCAGGAGCACTGCAGCAGAGGAGAGCGATTTGGGGAGGTATCTTGCAGCTTGTAGTCTACACAAGAACACGCAAGGTAATTTAATTTCAGCAAAAGAAGGGCAAAAACGTCAGATTTTATCTGCTTGTACAAGTGTTTGGGAAATACTGAAAAAGCACTCGGCTAGAAGCGTCTTGTTTGTTGTGAAACAAAAGGCTTTCACCGCGGGACACTGGGGGCTGGATGGGCCTTGTTGAGCTAAAGTGGGTATTGGTGACAGCCAGCCTGGGGCTGAAATTCTCAGATCGTTTCATGCCTCTTTTAAAAATAGTTTTCAGGATTAAGCAGTCCTTTTGCTGCCTGCTGTGGGAGAGCGGCAGACCTGGGCCTGGCCGGTACATTTGCCTGGCTGGGCCAGCGGTATTGATTCAGGTGAATATTTCACCTGCACAATCCTGTGTTTAGATTCCCATCCCCGATGGGCATCTTGATAGTAGATTTTCTAAAGAGGCAGAGTTAAAGTATCTGATCTTACAATATTTCTGCTGTTCAAAATAGCGAAGTCCCATGAAATAAGCTCAACCGCAAATGTTTTTGCCTGTATCAGCTCCATCTGTCTTGACTTTAAATTTGCAGCTTTCATGCCTCTCTTCATAATTGTGATTTTTCCCAGTGAGGGCCCTGCTGTAGCCTTTCCTTGTGTATTTTGTCTTCCTTCCTCCGTTCCCACAACAATATATTTGAAGCTTGTATCAAGTACCTCATTTTTGAATGCTGGCAGTTTTCCTCCCTGTGTATTTCCTGGAACAGTTTGATGGAAAACTATGTACATTGCTTGATTTGAGACCAATTTTAGGGGTGGGAGGAGGCGAAATCTTTACATTTCCTTTCTGTTCCTGTACTGTAAAAGATCATGTACTGCAAAGTTTAGCAGCTAGCCTCTGTTACATCTGTGTAATGGATATAGGGCCCAAAATATTTTTGGTGCTGGAACCCATCTCCTCAAAGCAGTTAGGTACCTAGCTGCTGCTATTTCAATGGGAGATAGAGCCTAAGCAGGATGTAGGCCTCACTTTGGGCTAGGTTTGTCGGAGTATTCAGTCATTTACCTGCCATTGAAATCAATGAAAGTCAGTCTTAAAAATTAGCCCCTGGGGTTATGGCTCTCCCTGCATTTAAGTGAAACTTCAGCCCCAAAGCAAAGGGATTAAATGGATTTTCATTTGAATAACTGAAATCAATGGGAGTTACGCAGCTGAGGACTTTGGAAAGTCCCACGAGGCTTTCACCTCCATCTTTCAGCACCAAGCAGATCTTTGAAAATGTGGCCCTGAGGCAGTTCTGAATATGCTATCTGTTGTCTTTAATAGGATGTACATGATGCTACTATCGTATGTGAGAATTCTGCTTTC